CCCCGTCCGCCCGCCTGCCTCTGTCTGCCGAGCGCGGTGACGGCGGCCGAGCCCCCCTGCAGCGGCTCCGGGTGCGCAGCCTGCTGCCCCCCGTCGGGCGGCCTGTTTACCCCAGGGCACCGGCGCGAGGGGTGGGCCGTGCCTGCGGCAGCGGCTGAAAGTCAAACTCGGCCGGCATAAACTTTTTAAAGTGGTTTTTTTTTAAACAAGGACAATTTTATTCATTTATCTTACTGTAAAATTGAAAATTAGACATTTAGAAAATGTAGGCAAAGAAAGGACAAAGAAATAAAAATATAACCCTAATCTCACTCAGTGTTTTCAGATGTCTAGGTGATGTGGGTGGGAACATACGCACGCACATACGCATACACGTGCGCGCACGCACGCACACACATGTGTACACACACGTGCACGCACACGGGGGAACGCATACATTTTTATACGAATGTGAGCCCACCATTCCCATTTTGGAATCTCTTTTCCCAGCCTCACAATATGCACGGGCACAGCGCCCGCGTCTGTGGACGTGGAAACAGACCGCTGCGTCGAACGCCTGCCTCGTGTTCAATTGTAGGCATGTAGCACAATCAGTTAAACCGTCTTCTGTTAATGGACATTTCAGATCATTCGATTTTGTGTGAATGGGGGACATGCTACACTATATACTTGGTATACATTTGTCCGGTTGCTTCCTAAGGATCAAATGCCGCGAGTGGAAAAGCTGACCGACAGGAAAACACACTTCCAGCCTCGACACTCGCTAAGGAACGCTGGACATTGTCTGTCTTTTCCAATGTTGCCAAGTGGTGAAGAGCAACACCTTGTTCCTTCAATTTGAAATTTTGTAATGTTTTATCAGTGGTAAGGAGAAACATGTATCCATGTGCATGTCTGCACAGGCGGTTCGCCTGTGAGTGCTGTTCATGAGCTGGGCCAGCTCTCAGCCGGACACCTTTTCTTGTAAGAAAGTAGCGTTTTGTCATATGTGCAATTGCTGTGTTTTGTTAGTGTTTAGCGTGGAAATATCGTTCACTTTTCTCCTTCACGGTTTCTGGCTACTGGGTCACAGGAAAGAAAAGATGTTCTTATTCCAAGAGAATAAAAGCTTTTAAGATTTTATTCATATCTTTGGTGCAGGACATCGTCTCTTGCTGAGTTAAATTTTCATAAAGGTGCATTAATCCTCTTTGCATATTTAGAAGGCCCTTCAGCTGGCTTCTCGGGTAAATAACAGCTCGTGAATATTCCACTCTGAGGATGGCATTTTGTTTTCTGTCCGAATTTTGTAGACGTTAGAATGCTCCATTTTCCCCTGAAATCTTATGTTCTGGAGACGTTCTAATCTTCTATTGTTTTTGTTTTTGCTTATAAGTCACCAGTGTTTCTTCCTATTGGATATTCATAAGGTTCTTTGAGTTTCTTTAAAATTTGGTAATCTCAGTAGTTATCACTCCCTACTGATCTTCCAGGTCCTTCCAAGTTCTGTTCTCTTACATTTTTTGTACCATTTAATTCTACCTGCTCAGCCTCCAGCCCGTGGAACTCAGTGTCCGCATCGTCTCCGAAGCCTGTCCTGTTTTGATCTCCACCTTAGTCTGAATTCGCCAGAGCACAGAATAATGGCACAGCTTCACGGCCACCCTTTGTTTGGGGACCATCCCAGGACAGCAAGGACAGAAGAAAAGTAGAAGTGAGGCGAAGTACAGGGCCCTGTGTCCCCTCGTAGCAGACGCAGCCGGTTTCCGAGGCGAAGTGAACCACCTGGTCCTTCGGAGCGGGGCTGGAGAGCCTGCCCACCCGCCTCGGGTCAAATTTGCCCCTGGGGCACTCTCTTGTCAGGCACCTGGGCTGTGTTGCCCTGGCCCCAGGCAGCTGCCGGGGAAACCATACGCCCCATCCAGTCAGGCGAGGCTTCACCTGAGCCCCAAAGTGATGTGAGGAGCAGGACACCGTCCCGTCCCATCTGGGCGGATGCAGCTGCGGGCAGCGGTGACTTAGAGCGGACAGGGACCGTGGCGAAGAGCCAAGGGGATGAGGGACGCGGGTCTCAGCATAGGGCCGGGGCTCCCCAGGAAGCCCCCCTGTGCGCAGCCCAGGGCCTGGGGCTCCTCTGCTGGGTCCAGTAGCATCGGTTTCTCTGCCATTCTTTTGTTTCTTTGTCTTTTGCTTCTACATTTCTGTGACATTTCCGTCGTCCCCTGAACGTTATTAATTGGTTTTCTGCGATATCAGCTCCGATAATTGCAGCTTCTGAAACGCTTCTAGTTCCTACGGCGGCAACTGCTTCTCTCTCCATTGTCTCGAGTGGGCCCCCCAATTCTCTTTCAGTCTCATTCTGTGCTTTTCTCTCTCTTTTTTTAATCTTTTATTCTTGTTACTCTCTAAGAACATGAAGAAATTCCCTGACATATTTGATTTCCCAAAATAATCACTTTGGGATATTTTGCTCCCCTCTCCGTCTCTTCTCTCCCCCTCTCTCTCATTTTTTGAAAATAAAATTTCAGAATAATCATGCATTTTGAGAGCCTCTGATGCCAAGTTTTTCAGGAGGCGGTTGAATGTTATCTCTATTGTTACAACAGGGCGACACCGGCAGTATTGTCTCAATGAGGCCCCGAGGAGGCGCCACAGCTCACAGCCTGGGTCACAGCCTGACTCCGAGCCCTGCGCCCGTTTACCGAGCGCCACCCGCCTGTGGCGCTTCCTCACCGGCCTCTCGGGGGCTGTGAGTTGCCGTTACACCTAAACCTCCTTTACTGGTCAGCTTGGCCGCAGAGCCCGGGGCAGCTTCGGTCCCGTCCCCCAGCTCCGGGCGCCCTCGCACCATTTGCGGCCCGCGCTTCACCAGCACCGGCCTCGGGGGCCCGGCCCGACTTTCCGCCCAGGGCTGAAGCAGCGGGGCCGCGATCTTCTCTCCCTGCCGCTAGGAAGGAATTTTAAAAAACAGACGCAAAACGGGGGCCATCAGTAATACTCCCAACAACAAAGGCTACGAAAAAGAAAAATAAACAGACACCAATGCCAGCCTCCTCCCCCCCCCCCATTTTCTTGACCG